TCTGTGTTTCCATCAGTGAACTTCTCCTACTTCCTGGAATGCTCACAGTCTACACCACAGATATCTGCAGGTGCTGGTCCCTACTTCCACAGTGCCCTAACTCTTCTCCATCTGTTGGCATTCAAGTTAGGCAACCTGCTCTCCTGAGAAGCACAATTCCCAAGGTGTGGGTCTCTGTTTGTCCTCTCAGAGCCTGTGGCAGCCTGCGTCCACCCAAGTTATGCTCTCCTTGTTGTTGCCTATGCTCTGGAAAAAAGCTGGAAAGGGATTACATCACCATCTGACATAGGACTCCTACCACAAGGCAGCGCCTGGTACACCCACAGCTCTCAAAGCATTCCTGTGGGAAGGAATGTCTCTTGTGTCCCAGACAACGCCAGCCACCAGGGCATGCTGTCTGTTGATAGGACCCAGCCCTTCCAGACTAAGAAAGAAACCATCACAACAGAAGCTGATGGCACAAGGAGGGATGTTTACCACACGCAACAGGAGGGTCCTTCCCAGCCCTGCACTGCATACTAGGAACAAAAGAGGCACAAGCCAATGTTGTTGAAACTCTTTTCCTCGGGAATGAGGACAACCTCTCTGGGAATCTCAGAGTTCCTACAGCATGACTCAAAGCAGTCGGCTCAACCCCGCTAAGTGGCTTGAAGGCCACCGATGCAATGGAAACAGTGACGAGTGCCACGTGCCACACCAGGCATCTGATGTGCATTCTCTCACTGGATGCTCCCAGGGATCTCAAAGGGAGACTCGGCCATTGTTCTCAGCTTGCAGGTGAGCAAAGAGACGTTCTGAGGTCAACTACCTTGTCCAAGATTGAGAATAAGCAGGTGGCAGGTGAGCCAGGATTCAGAGTCCACCTGAAGTATAGCGAACTGCTACACTTGGCTGTCTGTGCACAGGTAGGGCTTCCCTTTCCAGTTTGCCTGAGGCTCTTCCAGGAACTGTATCATCATCCTAACCTTTCTCTTCCCTGCTTCTAGACCATTCCACCACCACCAAGGACAGCAAACACCTTCCAGCTCCATCTCTCATGTCTCTCGGAGGTCCCTGTACTAGAACATGGTTTGTGAGGCTTGGGGAAGATGGCCTTCGTCTTTCCAGTGGGAGAAGCACAGTCTACAAGACACGACCCGACACCTGCTGCCAGACACTGCGTAGAGAAGGGTCTGTGAAAATGTCTCCTGAACTAAATCGAGAACACGTGTGAATGAAAGGAAGCAGTCACTGTGTCATCTGGCCATGTTTTGGGATTTCCTAGCTGCCAGCTAACATGATCATTCTCTCCAAGAAGAAACTAGGTCCATGCCAATACCCTTGGCCATCCTACTAGCTTGCCACTAGGCTCAAACTGCTTAAATGAGAGAGGGAAGATATAAAAAGGCAGAAGGAGTGAGGAGGAGGAGGATCAGCCACCAACTTGTCACTGTGTAGAGATGAAAGGTGGATTTTCTTCAAACGCCGCTGCCACCATCTAATGGCACAAATAGCAACTGCGTCCTGTCCTAGCCAGGAGACTAGAATTAGGTCCCCTGCCCCCGCCCCTCCCCAAAAAAACCCTTCTTTCAAACAAGAACAGTAGGTTACAATTTGTAGTTCTTTTTGTGCAACAAATTTGAGTGTCATAAAAATGGTTAAAAAGTCTTCCTATGGTAGCTTTTTCTAAACTTTTATGAACATCTGCCACATTCATTTGAAGTTTAAAAAATTCTGGCACATATGCAAAGGCATAATAAGGTGCCTATAGCTTTCAAGAAAAAAATAACAAGACAGTCAAAAATAAGCCTTTTGCTGAATTGCCAGTAAGAGAACGAGCGTAGCGAGGGAGACCGGCCTTCCCGAGCGCCCTTCCTCCAAGAGCTTTCCTTTGGCCCAGGGGGCTGGCCTCCTTCCCAAGCGCCTGGAACAAGCCTTGGAAACTGGGGTGGGGAGGCAGCTCTCTCCCTCGAAGGGCACAGAACCAGAGAAAACCAGCAGAAAAGCCTAAGCAGGGCAGCTCATGTCTGAGCTGAACCCCACGGGAGAGATCAGGAGGTGGTGGTTCATGGCTGTCCAACTCACCAAACACGCACTGCTCGGCTTGGAGAGCATCTCTGTTGGGTTCAAGCTTGGGGTGGCTGCCATTTTTGTTTCCTTTGGGTGTTTGCACCATATAGGAGTTTAGCCGAGCAGATTCCTCTGCATCCTCCCTTGAGATCACAACCCAGGCTGGGACTTCCAGCACCTTCCCATTGAGATCTCTTTTGAAAGGTAAGAGGAGACTTGTACCCATTGACCGAGAGGGGAAAGTTAGTCTCAAGTGTTGGTTTCAAAATGTACACCTATGTTAGACTGCATGTTTTGTTACCTGCGAGCTTATCTTACATTACTTACAATCACACAGCAAGTAGAAAACTCACATCCCCTCCATCATGGAAGTAACATGCTGGCACTGGATGTCTGGAAATAGAGATGCCTACTAGAGGGCTCCCAATTGCCAGCTCTCCACTCACTCATGCACCTCACTCCCAAAGTCTCCGTTTGGACAATTCCACCTGTTGGAACCCTACTCAGAGCTGAGGGCACCAGTGGAAACAATGCACCATCCTCATGCCATAGGAAAACCCGTTTCCGGGGATGGCGGAGATGGAAAGGGAAGCAAATGGCTATTATTCAGAGCAAGACGTGTCATACGTGAAGGATGAAGACGAAATGGTAGAGCTTCTTACAAGGAGCTGGACGAGCGCAGAAAGTGTCCATGAACAAGTGCGGGACTGTGAACAGGTACAAGGACTAGCAACAGTGCTGGCTGACAGGATGGGGCGGAAGGAGGAAAGATGGAGATACAGAACACAAGCCAGTGCAGAGGGAGCTGGGAAGGCAGGCTACCAAAAGTAGAGGTAACCCACTCCATATGGGCTTATGGCACTGAGTTTTATATTCATCTTTGTACCCCCAGGACCCAGCACCAACACATGAAACATAAGATGCCCTGACATGCTTTATCTAAAGTGTCAAAGAGGCTTTAGAGGAGGCTAAGACAGCACAGTGGCAATGCATGAAGGCAGTCAGGAGGGAAGAGAAATCATAGAGACTCGGAGTGTAGGTACAGAGAAACTTGGCCATGCTCAGTGTGTCCCATGCTCGTGTCTTTACGGGCAGGTGTGCTGTTTACAGAGACCAGGGGCACTAGCACGGGGAGTGGAGTGGCTCAGAATGTGCACACACTGTGCCTCAGAATGTGAGGTACAGGTCACACAGCAAGGTGAAATTCAATGGGTATTTGAAATAAAGAATGTGAAGTTCAGAGAGCCACAGATGGGCATGAGAATCGCACCTGGACTTCATGGTTGAAGCAAAAAGCCTTCAACAAGAAGGCAAGAGGGCACATAAAGAGGAGGTGGCCATGCCTGGGAAGGGTCCTAGGAAGCACAAGGGGTCTGCAGCAGCCTGGGCAGGAGCAGTCTGGAAGGCAGGAGAGGCCCCTGGAACCCAGCTGACCACCACATGGTCTTCACATGTGTTTCCAACTCCACGGCAGTTGGTACGAAAGGTCCGTCAGAAAGTTATTTTGCTTTTAGTTTCAATTCTTCCATACAGAGAGCTCTCTGAATAGATCCCCAAACTTAACAAACAAAGGTAAAACACAGCAGAGAAATCTCTTCAATCTGATCTAAATACATCATCCAAGATAGTCCCTAAACTGTGTACTGTATGTGCTAGGGCTGGGTGATGACAGGGAGGAACTGTTAACAGAATGCAGGAGCCACATGGCCGTCCTGTCAAATTAGAAATTTGAGCAGATTTCTGTGGTCTATTTTGATCAAGATTCTCAATGTCAAACAAACAGGTTTTTCGATAACCAACTTGCTTCATTTTGGTAAAGCACAATAGCGCAGTGTGCAACAGTTAGTGAAGAAGCAGGTGGTCCTCGTTGCCGTGAAAAGCAGGCAGCAGAAGAGAAGTAGCACTTCCTTGAAGACATGCAAGGCGCCATCGCAGACGGCCGGCCGTGGCTGCAGATTTTCCTTCAGCGAGCTCACCTCCTGTGCACAACCATGAGAGCCCCACCCCCAGCCCAGTTTGCCAGGGTGTGCATTTCTGCTGTCTCCTCAGAGAGGAAAAAGGCTCAGGGTTCATTCCGAAAACTCGTGGCACGTACAGAAGCACAGACAAGTCTCTTTAAGAGGACTGCTCTCTAATTGCTTGCAGCCCATACCAAAAACAATCTGGCTTCAGCCTCATAGCTTTGACCAAGCATTTCTCCTTTAGGGATTCTATATGAAAGAAGTAAGTCAAAATGCAGATAGATCTAGCCTTATGCATAAAGATGTTTTCTGAAAAGCTATTTATAAGAGTATAAAAAAAAATAGTATAAACAACCCACATGTCCAATGGGAGGGAAAATGGTTAAACTGGGCATCTATCCAAATAGCAGGAATGACAGGTTAGCAAATTAAAAACTATTACTGAGGGCAGATAAAAACACGTAGCAATCCCAGGGCCACAGTGCTAAGTAGAGACATAAAATGGTTATGTGGACAACATATCAATTAGGTACACTTATACAAAATATGGATTCCAAGAATAAAAACTGGGAGGAAAAAAAATAGGAGAACATAAACAGCGGCTCCATCTGGAGTAATGGGAGCATGCAGGATTTTCGTCTTCCACCTTACACTTCTCTATGACTTTAATATTGTGTTTCCTACAATGACCACAGGTCACATGGCCAGGAGGCAAGGTGCATGGCTTCCCCTCCCTCCATCAAACCCTGCCTCCCTGACCCCTGCTCCCTCACCGATGGAGAGTGACAGACCATGAGTCTGGTGGGAGGACTCTTGGGGGGCACGAGCCCAGTGGAGGGGGACTTGCCTCCCCCTAAGAGAGGAGGCTGCGCATGCGCCACTGCCCCCACCCACTCTGGCTTGCAGAGCTGTGACGGCCATCTTGTCACTGCCACAGGGCCCAACAAACCTGCTGGTCAAACAAGCTGGGGAAGAGGGAAGGTGACTTACCTCCATTAAACTTAAATGAATTCCTATGAGGTAGGGCATGGGAGCACTGCGAAGAGAAAGAGACACACAGCTGCTTTAATGTCTGTTGCTTCCACCAGGAAATTACAGATGGTTCACTATTTGCAGAGAAACTGTTTTATTAAACGTATGCACAGTTACATTTCCTTTCACAACAAAAATCCTAATGTGACATTTTGTTCCCAAGCCTAGAAAGCATCACAGGAATTTCAAAATGTGGACAGTGTTAGAAACGGTGGCTGGTGGCAGGAGCCTCAACCCAGGGTCACTCGCTCCCTATGGGACGGCTATGCAGCCACAGAGCCTGTCACCTGATCTTTAAAACGGGAGACATGGATGGATCCAGGATGGGGCTGTGAGAGTGAAAGCATTGATGTTATATGTCAAAACACTTATGATTAGCACAGTCTTTGATACAAACGGAAATCATTCTTGCCATGATCACGACAGAACAAACAGCCAAGGGGGAATGAGGGCAGCACGGGTTGCAGAGCAGGGTGGGTTTCTACCTGCAGCTTCCTTCCGCCATCAGGGGTGTGCGGGGGTGGGGGGGGGCGGAAACATGACCTTAATGTGCCTTCCACTTGGACAAAGTCTTTGGAGAGCTATGTGAAGACCACCCTGTGACAAAGTCTCCAGCAGTGGCCTCCTCCACAAGGCAATGGGCTCCCTAAGTTTGCCACTGAGCATCTGAGACACAACTCCAGCGGCTTTACAACCCAGGGAATTCTGGATGCACCAACTCCCCTTGGTTTCAGCAGTCTGTGGGTGCTACCCATCAGTGACACACGTGCTCGGCATTACCCTGAGGAACTTTCATTTTTCCTTCCCTACCTAACACAGCAGGTGGCAGCCCCATTTTATAGAAGGGGTCACAGAGCTAGCAGAGAGTTCATATGGTTGATCTGGGTTGGGCATCCCCAACCTAAGTCAGTGGTTAGCCTGTGACTTGACTCCTACCATGCCTGTTTTGGGGGCTGTGCTATACCCACTTGGGGACACAGAAGGTGAAATTGCCAAGGGTCACTTCCCAGGGTTTTCCTTGGTGGGTCAGGAAGGCAAGCCAAGAGCAGAGCAGAAAGGAGTGATCAGTGTCTCTAGAGAACGTGACACATGCATCCAGGTACAGTGGTTTACAAACCCAGAGCAGACACTAGGCTCAGATTGGGGTGGGCCAGGTACTTTTATTCTGGGATGGCTGGGGGAAGTACACTTGGAAGGACAAGGATGGCTCTTTGGGTGTGGGGTTGGGGAAACGTGGGCAAGGAGGCAGGAGAAATTTGTCCTCAGCCCCCATTCTTTGGTGTAGTGTTAAGGAGTTAAGCAATGGAACTGGTAAAACAGCAGACACACATTTTAAAATTACTCAAGCGTACTCTAGCAATGAACAACAAGACCCAATTCCCTCATTTACCATTCAACAAATAGACTACTTCAAGCAAAAAACGTTCCCCTAGAATATAAACTGTCCTTCTTGCAACAGATCCCAGTGGTAACATATCTTGGGAGCCTGTAGAACAGATTTGAAGACAAGCAGCCGGGTTTGGGAATTATTCTTCCCAGAGACCGTCTGCATTTGATAACAGCTAAAGAAAGAACCAGGCACACGACTACAGTGCTAAGGAGCAGAGCAGCCCTTTCTCCCCTTTTGTCGCTGTTTTCTCTGCTTTTGTTTTATTTTGTTTTACTTTGTTTTAAAGATATCTGTTCTTCACATTCAGCTTCTCTTTGCCTCCAGGGGCAAGGGAATGCCTCGGATATATTTTTTTTTTCTTTCTTCCCTTAAACTATAAACCAGTAGCTTAGCTGCCAGCTCCACAAATGCTCCAACTTCCCAGTGTGCTGTCCCTGGTTTTCCCAGTGTCCACTGGAATGAATGTGTTTCTAATTAAGTTGCTTCAGAAACACGACAGCTTCAATGTCAAAAATACAAAGTCTGAACCCTGGCAGGAAGTCTTACGACTGCAAATGTCTCATCTGGTGGAACCTCGCCTAATGGAATGAAAGGAGGCAGGAAGAGTGCAGAGTTCCAGAAGGGGGGAAAAAAGCCACTTATTAACGTGTTCAGAAGCACAGCCCAACACACAGAAGGGAGAGGGCATGGAGTCCTCAGTATTTGACTCATTCTTAACTTTTCCAGCTCTTAGGTTCATCATGCAATTGATCAGCAAACTCGAGTTTTCACTAGAATTTTAGAATTTCAGAATTCAAATCGAACCAAAAAACCTCAAACAATGAGAAAGAAAGGTGGAAAGAAATAACCGTAGTGAAAGTCTTCTGCATAATGTGACTGTGGGTTCTTAATTTGAAAAAGAAATATTTTCTAGATTTTTAAACACATAAACGCCATGCCCATTTGTCCTGCAATAAAAATCATCAATCCCCTCAAAGAGAGGAAAGAAGACTCTTAGCCAAGGAATGTGGAGAGAGGAAAGGACCGAGCAAGACCCACTCTTTTGGGGGATCTTTAGATAGGCATGTTTTATATATATATATCTGCCCAATAATTTTCTAAAAAGTAATTACAGCTTATCATGGAAATGCAGTTTCTTAGCCTAGCATTGTTAGGACTGTAATGGCTCTGTATTTAGAAAATATTTAAAACACATTTATTCTGGAATCACAGCAGCTCTGTGTTTTGTATGAATGCAAATTTGGACAAATACCTTTTACACTGTCATCATTTGCTTACAAAGCCTCCAGTAATTCCCTGAATCTACTGCATTTTTTTTTTTTTGTTCTGCAACTATATAATTACAAATTTCAAGTGCTGGGAGGGAGGGAAGAAAAAGAAACCCAGAGCCTTGGGAAGGTTTCACTGTGGCCAGAAGGCACCTGCGAAATTCTAGGTGTGTGGAAAACAATGCCTATTCTCAATATGCCTGGGTAATTACTGCAGCAACTGACTTGGAAGCCTCTTTTCTTTGCCTTTTTCTTATAAGAAAAGAAATTTGGAGGGGGAGGGGAAGGCAAAAAAAAAAAAAACAAATAAAAAAGCCACCTACCCATGATTACATCATCTTAACACAGCTACTTCTATTCTTTGCATTATTCCTTTCTAATATTGGGTCACATTAGCAAGCTGCTTTCTACCTTTGAAATTGCAGAGTGCATACACTTTATTATTTTCCCACAGGCTATGTTAGCGTTCCCCATGTTGTTCTACAATCTTTGTGATTATTATTTTAAAGAAGCCGTGTCTCCCACCAAGAAGGGCTGTGCTGTAATTTACTGAATTCTATACCTAGAGTTAGACATTCACTATTGAAAGTTACCATTGTGATGAAAATGAACAGCTTCACGTGCCTGAATTCTTAGACAATGACTAAGTCAAAAGGTAGGACTTTTATATCTTTCAAAAATTTCTGGCAAAGTGTTTTGTAATGGGGAGATAGAAATCTTTCAGGATTGTTGCAAAAATTGGACACAACTTGGGAGGCAACGAGCACAGGAGTGGCACGCGGCACAGCTTCATGTGACAGTGTCTGCTCAGAAGGACACCCAGGAAACCCCCAGTGAGGGTGACCAATGCTCTGTGTGGCGCTGCTGGCACTTGACACATGTTGTATTCCACACTTGGGTTTCAGATTCCCCAGATGTCCCCAGACTACCAAGCGGACAAGGGTCCACTGCTTTCAGGAAAGTTAGAATGAAAAATTTCAAAGATCTTTCCTTGGGCATATGTTAAAGCGAGGTAAGCCAGAAAAGCTCTTCCTGAAAATCTCCTTTGCATTGAGGTCTAACTCAGCTGAATCATCTTCTGATTCACAACTATCCAAGTCCATGTTTTTCCAGGGGCAACCCAAGAACCAAACTAAATGAACCATCTACTTGAAGCTATCTTCCGGTGTAAGTATGTGAAAGAATTGCCTCCACACTCTCCCAGAAGCTACAGATGCAAATGCTTACTGTCCTGAGTCATCGGGCACCCTGTCTGCTCTCTGTGCTGCCATTAAACATCCATGGCGACTTTTCACTTGAAGGCTGCAGCACAGTGCAATTTGAAGACATGTGAAACATAACACATGCAGAACCCACAATGTGCATTCTTTAGTGAAAGTTGTGAGAATACGCATGGCCCTGACCAAATGCTAGTGCCGGCAGGCCATCCCAACAGTGGCTGTGGCATGGTGGCAGGTGGGAGATGCCAGTGCACCTGTCTGGATGGCAGAACAAGGCCTATCAGTAGCAGGTCTTTGTCCCCCAGAATGACAGCCCAGAGTTCTGTCCGTTACATCTGGGGAGAATGCAACCTGCTCTCCCTTCCCTTACCCTTGCAAAGGAAAGGGCTTCTGCTGCTGGTAACCAGGCAGTGACAACATCCCCATCTCTCCCTGAAAGATACCTGTAGCTTGACTCCTCCTCGGGGGGAAAAGCAAGTAACATATACCGAAAGACTGTAACTGCACCCCACGCCAATCCCTAAGTTACTTCCTATACACTGCAGACATAATACTCAAGGTAACTCTGCAAGGTGGTAGTATCCAGCAAGCATTCAGGTTAGCAAACAGGCTCAGAGAGATGAAGTCATTTGCCCAAGGTTGCACAACTAGTAAGGTGGGAAGCCGCGCTCGTGGAACTAAATGTTTAAGTTCAATCCACACCTAGTACTGAGTCCAGGGGAGAGGAGGCACACCAAAAGGCTCTCCTCCAACCCCCCCCCCCCCGCCCCTCGTAACCCTCATGGGCTCCAGGCCTGTGGCGGGAGCAGGCGTGAATACAGATACTAGGGACTCATTGATGGGCCTGGAGTTTCTCTTCATTATTTCTGCACTTGCACAATTTGCTTAATTCCTTTCCTCTAGATAACCAGAGCCCTCTTAATTACGTTCCCCTGAGGTGAGCTGCTACTAATTGGAAATGAGTCAGGTGAGAGAAAGGGACATTGGCTGCTCACAGACAGAAAGCAGTGTCCCAGGGCAGGGGTGGGAGGGGAGGCGGGCACGGAACACCAGCTCCCTGCCCCCAGGCCTCCTGCCCACCTCAGATATCTCCTTGATATCAGTAAGGGGCACAGCTTGGGCCAGC